AGGGGGGCTTCTCCTGGGTTGAGAACCTATGTTCTAAATTGTTAAGGACACCCCAGCTCTGAGATGTTGAGAAGAGTCGGGGAGGCTGCCTCTAGAGGCCGCAGCTGGGCATGCCCTTCTGGATCTCAGCAGAATCTGAAGGTCTTGTTTCTGAGCAAGAGGCTGTCGCAGTGAGAGGCCCAAGGCAGTTCCTCTGCTCATAATGCCATTTCTCCTCCTTTCCCTGGACCCCAGGCAGCCAGCTGGGAGCCCTCCCCCTGTGATGCTCAAACACAGCCCACTGACAATGGGGCCTTTCTCCCTGCTCTGGCCAGCTCCACCTCAGGGTGCTGGGGGGCTAAGGGAGGGGGACAGGCAGGGGAGAAAGTAGAGAGGGGCGTTGGTCCTGCTGCCCACTGTCTTCTTGGTTTTTCTAGGACCTAGAGATGGATGATGAGCCCCCAAACACCCTGCCCCTTGGCCACCTGCACAGGGCTGTGTGGTCCTGAAGACAGGCGGGGAAACAGAGGAGAGAGACCAACTTCCGTGCCAGCTCTTGCTGCTGAAGCTGAGGCAGGGAGGATCTAGGGCAAACTCAGAGCCCATCTTCCTGATTCCAGTGTGTGTGTCTGCCGTCAGGCCCTTTTACAGCCTTGGAGGAGCTAACACTTACTGCGTGCTTAGACATGCTGGACCTGTGCTGCGCATTTTAGATTCATGATCTTGTTCAATCCTCACAACAAACTTGGGAGGGTGGTTCTACGATTATTCTCAGTTTTTGGAGAAGGAAACAGGCTCAGAGAGAGTAGGTCATTTACTCAAGGTCAACCAACCATTAAATAGCTAGCCAGGACTGGACTCTTGGACTACCTGACCCCCAAGCCTGTGCTCTCAACCACAAGGCCACACTGTCACCAGGGGAGAAAATAATACCTGAAAAGGATGCCACTCAAAATCAAAACAAAATTTAAAACAGTGAAAGTAAACTGCATAATGATAAGACCGACAAAAAAGACCTTAAAACTTTACAAGATGACTTACACAAAAGGGAACGAGGCCGGCTCCCGGGTGGAGGAATTCAATAGTGAAAAGGCCAATTTCCCCTAATGAACCCTTGACAGACAGGTTGTCACGCTGGGCCAGGATCTGGGTGGGAGCTTTACACGGTCTCTTTGAACAACGGTTTATGAGGCAAGTGTAGACATCATGAGCCCCATTTCACAGGCCACGGAGGTTACCCTGTCCACAGTCCCTGATGAGGCAGGGTGAGAGCTGGGATTCAAGCTCAGGTCTGGTGGCCAGCTGTCTGGGATGCTAAGTTCTCATGCAGGGACACCACGCGTCCTTCCAGGTCTCTAAGACTGAGGTTTTTAAAAAGCTCTACATATTTTTTGTTTGTTTTAAATAGACTCTGTTTTATAGAGGAGTTTTAGATTCACGGCAATAGTGAGCAGAAGGTACAGAGATTTCCCACATATCCGCTACCCCAAGATGCGCACAGCCTCCCCCATTATCAACATCCCTCACCACAGTGGTACATTTGTTATAATCGATGAATCTATACTGACACATCATTATCACCCAAAGTCCTTAGTTTACATTAATTGACATTCTATGGGTTAGACACATACCCAGCATCACACCCTGAGGATTTAAAATCCAGGTTGGGGGGCAGTAGTGCTTGGGAATGGGATGGGGGTGAGGAATCAGCCCAAGCTCCCTCCCAGACCAGCCACACATCAGAAACATGGAGAGGATCCCTGTCCTGCGCTGTCCACGGGCGGAGCCCACTCAGCAGCTGTAGGCTCGTGAGGCAGCTGACAACTGGCATCTTCCTGGCAGGGGAAGAAGCAGTTCCACCTCCCCACCAGGGTCCAGCAGGAAGCTCTGAGCATGCCCCCCGCATTCCATGCTGTTGAATCAGGGTTGCATTTTCATTGAAAACAAGTAATTGGATCCCTAGCTAATGGGAGGATATCTACTCTGGTGCCAAGAATATTAATTTGACACCTGCAAATTCTTTCTGACAAAAGGGATTTTCAGATAGTCTGCAAGGAGCAGGCGGTACTGAGGAAACAGCCACTTATCCTGAATAATGGGAAAGCAGAGACAACGCGGATGCCAGAAGGGTGTGGACTACTGAGCAGTCATTGGGGTAGAACTGAGAAACAATGGCAGACAAGACACCCCAGTGAGGCCATGTGCCAATGTCACTGTGGAACATGGTGATGGGGCAGAGCTAGGCTAGACTTGGAGCCTCAGCTCTTGCATCATTACACCTGGGTACACTCTGTCTCCTGAGGCCAGGGGCTCTCACCAAGGGTGAGGAGCACGTAGGCTTATCACAGTCATACTGGGAGACAAACCATTTGCACCACAGATGACAAATTAAATGTCCCCAATATATAAAGAGCTCCTATAAATCAATAAGAAAAGTGGACAAAGCATCTGGGGGCTGAATAGAGCTTTTTCAGAAAACACACCCCTCTCCACACTAAATTGAGAACTCTTCTCAAGAACTTCTGGAACAAGTGAAAGAGGCCAGAAATGGGGATGATGATACAACTAAACACAAGCTCCCCATGTCCCTAGCTGGTTCTGATGTGGGTGGCTGGGGCTGCACTTAGTGAAACACAGGTGTAGTGGTTAAGTGATTAAGAAGATGGGCTTTGAAGTCAAACAATCTAGTACTTGGCACCACCACTTCTTAGCTGTGTGCAAGTTATTTCATCTTCCTCGGCCTAAATTTTCTGAACTGTAAAATGGAAATAATAACAGTACTTTCCCACAGAACTGTTGACAGTTCTCTAGTGACTACAAGTCAAGGGTCTAGCACCGTTATTGGCACAGTAATGACTTCACAGAAGGAAGCTGTTACTAATGGGATAGCTGTGGGACAATGGGATAACCTGTGCCTTGAGGCCCCCAGGCCAGACACTCTCAAGGAGTGTCGTGGTTAAATTCCATCAGTGAAGGAAGATCCACGAAGTCTTCAATAGGAAGGGGCCTCTCCCCACCAGTCTGGCTGTTGTCCAATTTGAGGTCAGGGCTGTGTTTGGAAATATTAGGAAACCCAACAGAGAGCACTTTCTAGATATCCTAGAAAGGAAGCTGTAGGCAAAGAAGGACCTTATCTCGTTCATGGCTGTATTTCCATTGCCAAGTACACAGTATACCCTCAAGGTCACCAAAAAGATGGGGCAGGAGACACTTAGGAATGTGATCTGGTGAAGAACAACGATGTGGCACAATCAAGACTCACCACTGATCATCCAGGTCCCTAAATGCCTCCCCTGGAGAGACGGGAAAGCAGGGCCTCTTCACTCCCCTTACACCTCTGCAACTGTCCCCAAGAACAGCTGCAATCCTCTCCCCACTGGAGGCCCGTATGATGTGCCCCAAAGCCCTGACAACATTTGGCACTTCAGCAAATTGAGTTTCCACAGGCGCAACCTGAACAGAGCTGTTTAATGGACTGCATCTCCTCCTGCTCCCTTTAAATGCACACGCACACAAAACCAATTGCAAGCAAAGAGCTGGATGGGATTAAACAACTCAGTTTAAAGGACTGAAAACTCAGCTGCTTTCAGTGAAGTCCTAGGGAAGGAACCAATCAGCAAAGTTCTTCTCTTCCTTTTTGCATTGAAATGAGGGCTGTGACTGTGCAGTGAGTCACTCCCAACTCAGGCAGAACTGGGCCACGTCCACCTGGACCTCACACTACAGCGGACGGTGGGGAAAGAGAAAGAGAGGGTGTGTGTGTGCATGGTGGACAGGCAGGAGGGGTCAAGGGCAAATTTCTAGACCATCTGTTTTGGATTTTTCTGGAAATGCAGAGTATCTTACAGGACCTAGAGGTGGACACCTGCCTGTTTGCATCTCTTTTCAGCCCAGGTTCAGGAAAGTAAATTCAGGCTGCAGGACAGCTGTACTGGGCTCCCTATAAGCCTGCTACCAGCCCAGGGAAGACTGAGGTGCCTCACAGCACAGGAAGTTGTGAGCCATGTCCCTCTCCCTTTTCCCCCAACCCCTAGCCCTTGTCTACTCCCATGTTCCCACTGGGCAGTGTGGGAGGTCTGTAGATTCATGTGTCTGCTGCCTCATGGAGGACACAGCTCTGCCCGAAGCCCACAGCTGCCCAGAGCCAGGAAGAGGGAAGGAGAGGAGTGAGTCAAGCAGCAGCCTGCCAGCATCTGACATGCAACCTGGAGCTGGTATGGCTGGAGGGATGGGATGCCACCCTGGCAAATGGCAACGCCCAGCTGCAAATCCTGCCCCTTGGCTGGGTGGCAGGGGAGTCCTGAAAAAGAACTCCAGGGAATGGAAGGCTGCCAGTGGTGTGGGGAAAGGTGTGCTCCTCCCTCAGATGACCAAGGGACCCAGAGTCCAGCTCTCCTTACCCCCCTCTGGGCCACCCTCCCCCTTTTGCTCTTAGTGACCCCAATAAAGCAAAGTTTAAGGGTCCAATTTCAAACTAGAGGTCAAAATGGAGTCCAGCTGAATGAGTAACACAACTAACACTCTCTGAGTGCTCAGCACACGCCTGGCACTTTCCATGGATCATGTTGTTCTTACAACTCCATGTCCTGTTACTACTCCCACTGAATAGAGAAGGAAACTGAGATGCAGAGCCACGAAGTGACCCGCTCAAGTTTAGGCAGCTCAGCAGGGTCAGCCCTGCATGTGGCCTTGACCCACAGCCAAGCTCCCACCACCACTCTCCGCTGCTTTCCAGAGAAGCCAGCTCCCTGTGCAGACTGGTCTCCTCGGCAATGACCGGTCCCAGCATGCTCTTCAGAAGGGCCGACAGAGGAAGAGTCCTTATTCCCAAAGCCAAGAGCCAAACAGAGCTTTCCCTCTAAAGGATGCACCTTACCAGGTATGAGGAAGAGGGCAATTTTTGGGTGTTGATTTAAGAGAAAAACCACCACCAAACAAGCCCCTCTCAGCTACGAGATCCCCTCAGTCATTCAAAAGGGGACGCGGCAGCCACAGCACAGAAGGGGTTGTTGGTGACCTACCTCGTCGGATTCGTCTGATAACGTCTGAAGCAGGATGGGGAAGAGGCTGTCTGTGTGCCGGAACATCTGGAGAGCAGAGAAGCCGGGGAACCTGTGAGCGCTCCCTCGCTCCAGGATGGGGTTCAGAGCAGAGAGGGTCCCACTGCATGGACCACCTCCCCGCCTCCCCATTGCCCCCAGACACCAAAAGGCTCCTCAAACATCTTCACTCCTTTGCTTACAAGGACTTCTCCTGAACTGCAATGACCAAATCCCTCCCAAGCATGGGCAGGCCCTTGAAAACCGAGGTCGACTCAGAAGAAGCCCCCTGGCTTAGAGGGCCGTACCGGGTCGATGGGCCTGGGGGCTCACCTTCCGGGGAGTCTTGATGTAGAGGTGGTAGAGCCACTTCAAGACGGCAATCCTGGTCATCATCCCGATGGCTGTGTCACTGAGGTGGCAGTTTAGGACCTGCACAATCCCATCAAGGTGGAGGGTGACCGGGGCCCTTTCAGTGCTGTGGGCAAGACGAGGGAGGAGCTGAGGTGAAGCCCACAGAACCCTCTCCCACCGAGCTACACACCACCTTGGCCCACACACCCGGGCCCAGACACTGGCCCTCTCCTGGGTTCGGCGGTCAGGAGGGGCAGATGGCATACACCCTTGCAAGCCTCACGGAGGGCTTGTTTCTCTCTCTCCGGTTCCCTCTCCCTCTCCAAGGCTGGAGCCATGACAACCACATTTAGGGGAGGAGGGCCAGTCTGCTGGGCACCCACCCACCTCCCTTTTCCTTTTCCAGCACAAGCCTGGCTTGTATAGGAGAAAACCACTCCGATGGCACTGAGCTGGGTGCCAGCAGACCTCAGGGCCCAAAGGCCATTCATCCTCCGGGCAGTAAGTCCAGACCCTCTGTTGATAAAACCAAACCACCATGTCCAGGGAGTCCAGGGGAAGGCCCTGATAACACTCCTTAAATCCAACAGGTCCTCCACCAGGCACCTGAAGGGTAGGTCTCGGGTGAGGCTAGGGATCCTGGCTTTCCATCTTGCCACGTGCTCCAGGGCACTCAGCACAGTGTTTGGCCTGGCTGAGATGCCTGGATAGTTGCCTCTGAAGCTGTAACATTCTCGTTTGAGTTGGCAAAGAGGCAACACAGCCTCTGACTGAGAAATGAAGCCTGTTCAGAATGTGCTTTGCTTCAGTGGGGGGGCAGGCTCCCCAGCTTCCCTGGCCCAAGGCTTCGCTGGTTTCTAGGCAGAGAAAAGCCCCAAGCAGCCCCAAGGTTGGGGGCTGCTGGGACACTGACACAGCCCTTTGCCCAAAGCACAGTTCCCGGGCAGAGGCTGGAGTTTTCAGGGATGGGGACAGCAGGGACAGAAAACCTCAGGGTGTCAGAGAGGGGCTCCCTTCATCACACTGTATACGCCTGAAGGAGCCATGACAGTGCAGACCAGGGGCTGCATTTCCTGAGGACCAGGCTGGCGGTTCAGTTGCCTGCCTGCACAAAACAGTCTTTCGTGGTATTTCCAGGCTGCTCAATTATTCATTTGCATCAGGCACTCGATGCCTATGCTTTCCTGATTCGCCTGCAGCTTCTCTGAAGTTCATTTGATGTGAATTCCTAAATGGCACAATTCTGAGCTCTGGAAGTGCTAAATGGAACGGCTATTTTACATGGTTTGATGATTCCCATGGTGCTTGTTTTGGGCGTGAGAGTGGGCCCTTCTATCCTCTGGTGGCCAGAAGGGCTGTGTGTGAGTGACAGGGCCCAGCAGACTCGAGCCTCTGGGTTGGGCTGCCACTGAGATTTCCCCAGGAGCCATATGGCTAGAAGTTCTGGGGTCTTCAAAGATATCTTCAAATACATCTAGGTTCTTTGGTAGCCTAAGACAGACAGGGAAACTAAGGCACAGATGAGTCCAGGGTGGAAAACATGGGCTCCCAGTCACTCTCTTAATCAATCTCTCTCTCATGCTCACTGTCCAATGGAAATATAATTTGAGTCACATATGGAATTCTATGTTTCCTAGTTTTATATTAAAAAATAGAAAGGTAAAATTAATTTAAAAAAATTTCTTTTTTGAGGAAGACTGGCCCTGAGCTAACATCTATGCCCATCTTCCTCTATTTTATATGTGGGATGCCTCCCACAGCATGGCTTGACAAGCGGTACATAGGTCCATGCCAGGGATCTGAACCAGCGAACCCCGGGACACTGAAGCGGAGCGTGTGAACTTAACCGCTGCACCACTGAGCCGGCCTCAGGTAAAATTAATTTTAATGATGTATTTTAATTAACCCAATATACCCAAATATTACCATTTCAACATATAATCAATATAAAATCAATACAAAGGTCACTACTAAGATACTTTATATTCTTTTTTGTGTCCTAGGTCTTTGAAACCCAGCATGCATTTCACACCTGCAGCACATCTCAGATCAGACCAGCCACACTGCACACGCTCAGCAACCACACGAGAAAGTGGCTGCCACCCTGGACAGCACAGCTCCACAGCGGCAGGCTGGTAATCCATCCAAGGGCTTCCTGAGCACTTTCTTTTCATCTCTGACAATTCCCGAGATACTCCCTCTCCCTCTGCTGAAGGCTAGGATCTACTTGCTGTCTTATCTCCAAGTCCCTCTTTCTCCCATCCTGTGGCCCTCCTACCGGACTCCTTCCAGCACGTTCCACTATAGCTCTTCTCCTTGGGCCAGGAGGATCCCATGGCTGGAGAAGCTCAAGATGTCTATGAGCAGCCCAAGGCCTTAACTAAGCAGGAGCTCGGAAAGCAGGGGACAATGAACAGACCTCCACCCCCTCCCCCAACTCTTCTTTCCTAACCCCCTGAGCCTGAGGTCCACGGCAAGTCCCTTTCCCCAGCAGGAGCTGCAGGGTGTACCAGCTGCCACACAGGGCCCAGGGTGCCATGAGTACCCTGTGCCTGGCAGGTCATGCCACATTCTTAGCTGAAACGGGCCCCCTGGGAAGAAGCCCTTGTTTTCACTCACCTGGGGGACTCAGGACTGCCCTGGCCTAGCAACAGCCTTGTCCTGAGCTGCTAGTGGGGAGGAAGGCAGTGCCAAGCCCAGCTCCCTGGATTCCACCCTACGGTTCTGGCCTAGTGCTGTGTATGAACCCTGGGTGGGGGGCAGAATGTGGCGCTGAAAATAATGATGATGACAGTGGTACCGAAAATGATAATTCGCGCTTCTTGAATAAATACTCTGTGCCAGGCACCATGCTAAGCTTTGTACCTGCATAGCCTCATTTACTTCTCTCAAAGGCCCTATGCCAGAAGCAATGTTATTCCCATTCTGGACATGAGGGAACTGAAGCACAGAGACATTAAGTAACCTGTCTAAGAGTACACGGCCAGGAAGTGGTGGGGCCAGCAATTTGGATTTGAGCAGTCTGAGTAGAGTGGTCTCACACACCACCCAGCACTGCCTTCTAATGAGCCATGCTCAGAAGAGTCCATGATGGCATCATTTCCAACTGTCCTCTGGCAGGGGCAGAGAACAGCAGCCCCTTGTGTGGACCGGCTACTCTCTGGCCAGATCAGACCTGGCAGCCCTGTGTGCTGGAAAAAGGAGGTTGACACACACACCTTTCAATGTACTTTCTTGTCAAAGGGCAGACAGAGTCTCCATTAGGGAGAGAGAGGACACCGGGGAAGCCTGGTGCTGGTTTCTGTGGGGGGCACTCCAAATCCAAGTGGCCCAAATGGAGCCCCAAGATGCTAGGCTCGATGGTTCCTCAGCCAGCCGGGCTCCTTAATTCAGTGGTCCCCAGATGCTTCTAGCCAGTTCAGTGTCTCTACTGAGGGCAGAAAGCAAGGGACAGCCCATGGTGGCATCTCCCTCAGGTGGCACTGTGTCGGTGCCAAAAAACAAAGGAAGGATTTCACGCAGCTGGTGTGTGAACTGGCACCATTTTATATACTAACAGTTTCTGATCTTCCCCACAGCAGATGCCAGGAGCGGTAACCCTCCCCAGACACAGGCACCCTCAGACTGCTGGTGAGGCAGGTGTCAGCTTCAACCAACAACTTCCTAACTGGAAGGACCTAATGGTTCATGTAACCCAATCCTTCAACGCACAAATGAGGAAATGGAGGTTGGGAGACAGTATGGGACCCAGCCAAGGCCATGCAGCCACGTATCGAGAACTCATTTCCTTAGCTGGATACACTGTCCCTGGGTCTCACTTCTCTTGGCTGGCTGGAGGTGAAGGTCACAGGAAACAGGCACACCCAGGGAACCAGGGAGGCTGATCTCAGTTCCCAGGAAAGGGAGGCTTGATGATCCCACCTGCCTTTGAGGAAGCAGCTCTCAGCTGCTCTGCTGGGGGGGCTGGTGTGCTGGGCTCTGCACTCAGCAGGGAGCCAGGACTGTGGGAACCATGCACCCCACGCTGCATGGTGTGCTCAGCTCCTGAGCTGCTGGTCTGGAGCCTGAGATGGGGCACCCTCTGTTCTGGCTTACCTTATCCAGATAGAACAGAATGCAACTCACTCACAGTTTCTACATTTCTGCATTGGTTCCAAAAAGTCTAGACCAGTCACTCCTGGGGGCTTCTGAGTTGTTTCAAGGTGTCTGCAAAACCCCATTTTCACTGAGCATGTTCTCATAAAGCATTTCATAATGAATGTCTTACACATATATGTACTACAATTTCCAAATGCATCGCACCACCGTGGCTATTAAAATATCGATTTATTTAAGAATGCTTCTGATACTACCAATAAATAATGATAAATTCCAGTGGTTCTCTCTGGGAGGCAGCACTTTATTTCTGTAATGTCTAACTCTTTATAGGATTCATGTTACACTTCTAATCAAATTAGAAAAACGGTGAATCTAAAAAGAGAATTGTTTCTTAATTCAAAGTTGTTTTTTATAAAAGATGATTACAATTTTTTTCAATCAGCAGATGTGAAAAGTCGGAAAGCACTGATTTCTAGATCTTTCTGTTTGCCTTATGTATAGGGCAGCCAGCTACACCAGGAGACCTGTACTGAATGTCACCAATGACACCATGGCCCTTGGCATCACAGTGGAAGTCCATTCACACAGCAACACCTGTCCGGGGCTCCTGTGTCAGATGAGTTAGGGCGATTAACACACAAAGCTTCTGGAACTCTCTGTGATTAATAAAGGCTTTGGAGTGAGACAGACCTAGCTTGAATTCCAACTTGATCATCTATTAGCTGAATGACTTTGGGCAAGAAGTTAACCTCTCTGGGCCTGTTTCCTCACTTGTAAAATGTGGATAATAACCAGGTTGTTGTAATAATAACTGTAGCTAAAATGTGTAAAGTGCTTTCTGTGGGTGAGGCACCATTCTAAGCTCTTTACATAGTTCGGTTCATTTAAGGTCCATAACCCTATGAAGTTGGCACTAGCATCACATCCAGTTTACAGATGAGGAAGCTGAGGCAGGGAGAGTCTAAGCTCCTGGCCAAGGGCCACACAGCCAGGAGTGGTGTAGTCAGGATGTACACCCAGAAAGTGGGACTCCACTACTCAGAGGATTCACGAGAGACGAACGTGCCTGGTACATGTAAGCAGCACCAGAGAGACAGAGAGACAGAGGGAGAGATAGAGACACAGGGAGGGAGGCAAGGAGGGAGAAAGGATTGGGAGGGGAAGAGGGAGAGGGAGGCAGGGGAAGATGGGGAGGGCAGAGAGAGGAAGGGAAAGAGAAGAGGGAGGATGGGGAGAGGAAGGAAGAGGAAGGAAGGGGAGCAGGAGCGGGAGAGGGACGGTGGAGACTCTTCCTCCCTGATCCTCTCCTCAACACGGGGATGCTTCCCCCACTCTGCTTCCCACCCCTTCCCAGGGAGTCGTTTTCACCACCCCAGAGGGTGGAGGAACCCAGACTCCTCTAACTGGAGCCCCACTCAGCTGGCACTTCAGTGTCCTTCAGTGTCCTGTCACTCTCTGCTTATTCAGGTGGCTCCCCTGGCATCCTGGGAAAGAAGGGGGATGAGGGAGCGGGAAGAGGCCAATGATCTTGGGTTTAGTCAGTTATTCTCCCTGTGTTTAAGTCCAAGTGAGGAAGTTTTGTAATCTGGGGGGCAAGGATTGGCTCTCAGGAGATCCCTGGACCCCTGAAAGTATATTCAGAGTTCTGCGTGTCTTTGCATTTTTCTAGGAAGAGGGTCCACAGCTTTCATCACATTATCAAAGGGTCAGTGACCACCAAGAGGCTCGGGAGCGTTGCCCACCATGGCAGCGTTCTGCCAGGCAGGGATGCTCTTCTGCCATTGCAGGAGTCCCCAGTTCAGCCTTGGCTGGCCCGACCTGAGTGAAACCGGCAACAGCAGGCAGTGCCCTGGGCAAATAGTACACCCAGAAAACTGGAGGGTGGGTTCCGTTTCTTGGTGACCCTGGAAGATGCCATCTTGCCCAAGCTCAGTCAGCACCAACTGGAGGAAGCAGGCACCCCACCCTACTGTCCTCAGCTGCCATCTCCAGTGCGCGTCGGGGGGGGATGGGGTGTCCAGGTACCCTGGCCCAGGCTTCACGACTCTGAAGGCCACCCTCCTCTCTGGCACAGCTAGTGACTCAGACTGGCAGCTGCACGAGGAAACCTCTGCTCACAGGAGAGAGAAAGCACTAGACAATCTGTTCTTGTTTGGTTTTTTAATTTTAAACAGGTAGGATTCAGCATGGGCTCCTGAACGACGGGTATAAATCAGAGCCCTGGCTCCATCGGGCAGCTCCCGGCCTCAGCACAAGAATGGAGGCCTCCCTGAGGCACGCCCTGGCCAGCCACCCCACAGCTTTCCGAGCCGAGCAGCGAGGAGTTGTGCCCCCTCCAGTCGGTCCCATCTCTGCCTCCTCCTAGATCTCCCCCACCTCCCACTGCCACCCTGTGGAGCAGGACAATGCCCTATAGCCTACATGACAGTGACAAGTCTGCAACAGGCCTTTCTGCTGCCAGTTTTGTCCTCCTCCCTCAGCTATCCTCCCCGGGGCTGCCAGAGGGTCTTCTAAATCACACGTCTGCCCCCTCACTCCTACTTGTAACGCTGGTTCCCATGGCCTTCAGAACAAAAGCGGAGCTCCTCTGCAGGACACACCGTCCCCCTGCACCTCTGTCTAGTCCTCTCCTCCGAGTTCCTGAATCCAAACCTGCCTCCTCAACTGCTCCTGGGGATGCTCAGAGCCACCTGGACCAGAGCTCTTGCCGGGCCCACTCACACACCTGTTCCTCCTGTCACCCTAGCTTAGGAAAAGTACCAGGATTTCCTGATTTGGCTCAAGCCCAAAATCTAGAAGTTATTCTTTCTCTCATTTCTCTCCTCTTACTCTGTTCCACCATCAGTAAATCCTGTCAATTCTCCCTTCAAAACAGATCTCAAATCTATCCAACTTTCTCCAGTCTGCCAGCTCTTCAGTCTCAGCCTCTATCCCTTCTTCCTGGGATGGCTGCTGTGGCCCCCAGCCAGTCTGCACCCACCAGAGTCCCTCCTAAGTCTGTTATCTTCACAGCAGCCCGCTGATGTCCTGTCCCTCCTCAGTCCTAAAATAGAGACACTACTACTGACCCATGGGATTTAAACACCAGTAAAACCCAACTGAAAACGAATGAACAAATACTGGCTTGCTCGAACAATCTGGGAGAGGTCCTATGAATAGTCCATATTTATAACCGTACTTGCATACTTTGAAGACATGCACGGGGTCCTTGGAAATAAGAATAAATTAAAAAATGACATAAAAGGAGGAAAGACCCTAAGGGTCTGGGGAGAAAGAGCCTCTCGGGGCTGAATGCATATTTTTGCTTCATGAGTGACTGGTTCCCCGGGGCCCAAGCACAATGTCAAGTTTGGAGGGAAGAACCCCGGGAGGAGAACCATCATCCATTCTAGCCCCAGTGGTGCCAATTCTGCCCAGAGAAAATCAAGATGGGTCAAGTCCAAGGGGCTCAGACAGACACAGAATGGTGATAATTCCCTCCCCACGGGAATGCCATCACTGGGCAGGGAGTATGGAGGGGGATGGCAAGGAAGGGAATGATCTTGCTGCTTGGCCTGCACTGCCCCCTCGTGGAAGGCTGCACTATTACAGCTGACCTGGGCGCCTGGGGAGGACAGCTCCTGCTCCCCGTCTGTGCTCAGACTCAATCCTGCCTGTGCTCCACACTGTCCTTGAACAGCTTTCCCCCTGTCAGCCTTGTCAGCCCCACCGAATCCTGATAAGCAGAAGGTGCTGGGCAAAGGCATCTCCAAGTGTCTCCCTGTGGTCACCATGCATTAGTTATACTTTCACAACTTGTATTTACTGACCTCCAACAGCTTCTGATACCTCTCAAAAGGCTATCTGTCCATCAGAACTGGGTGAGTTGGGCTTGCTCAGTGTCCTTCAGATTCCCTCTGGCACTTCAGTGGCCCTAAGCAGAGTATGCCTCGGGTCTTCGCTGTAGTCTCCTGCATCCAGGAAAGATACAGGTTGCTCGCTTTCCACAAACACTTCTGACTGGAACAAACCACTTACCTGGCTGGAGTGAAGACACTGATGCCACTACTGAAGCTGGAGTCACAAGAACCACTGGGGCCTCCTGGGGAGAGTAAGAGGAACAAGGCATCATGCTAAAGGCTGTTAGGGTCTTTTGAATGAACAAGATCTCTGTTATAAGGACACACTGATTCTCTAGCCCTCCCCTCTGCCCCCCACCTTGATTCTGGCCTTGATTCTGGTTCTTGAAAAGGAATGTGGCCCTGGAGCCACTTACGCCCCAAAGCTTTGGGGATAGACCCATGCTTGCAGGTTTTCAGGCAGAGGGATCTCACAAGGAGAGGGACAATAGTGCTGAACACCTCTGGGAAATCTAAGACAAACTGTTGGCCCAAGGGCAACAGGTGCTAAAAATGACTTCTCAGATAATCAACATGATTAGCTATCAGGGAAATGCAAATTGAAACTGCAATGCGATACCATTTCACATCCCCTGGATAGCTAAAATAAAAGAGATGGATGATGATAACAAGCGGTGGCAAGGATGTGGACAAACTGGAATCTTTAGACACTGCTGGTGGGAAAGTAAAATGGTACAGTTGCTTTGGAAAACAGTCTGGAAATTCTGCAAAAGGCTAAACACAGTTACCATGTGATTCCACTCCTAGGTATATACCCAAGAGAAATGAACACTTACGTCCACACCAAAACTTGTATACCATGTTCATAGCAGCTTGTGACTATATACAATAGTCAAAACGTGGCAACAATCCAAATGTCTATCAACTGATGAATGGATAAACAAAATGTGTTATAGCCATTCAATGAACTATTATTTGGCAATAAAAAGGAAGGAAGTACTGATACACACTACAACATGGAGCAACCTTGAAAACATTACGCTAAGGGAAAGAAACTAGTCACAAAGGACCACACATTGTATGATTCCATTTATAGGAAATGCCTAGAACAGGCAAATCTATAGAGATAGAAAGTAGATTAGACGTTGTTAGAGTTAGAGGGTTAGAGTAGACAGGGTGTAATGGCTATTTTCTTAAATTAAAAAAAAATCTTTTATTTTGAAAGAACTTTAGATTTACAGAAAAGTTGCAAAAATAGTAACAGAATTCTCTGTATACCCTTCACCCAGCTGCCTCTAATGTTAACATCATTCAGACCCATAGTTCAATTATCAAACCAGGAAAGTGGCACTGACATCACACTATTAACTTAACTACAGACCTAATCTGAATTTCATCGGTTTTTCCACTCACGTCCTTTGTTCCAGGATGGAATCTGCGACCCCACACTGCATTTAGTTGTCCTGTCTCCTTAGTCCCCTTCAATTCATCACAGTTCCTCAGTCTTTCTGTATCTTTCGTGAACTCGATACTTTGGAAGCCCTGGTCAGTTACTTTGTAGAATGTCTCTTGAGTTGGGGTGGCCTCATGTTTCCTTGTGATTAGCCTCTGGCATTTCTGGAAGAATGCCACAGAAGTGGTGCACTTTTTCGGTGCATAACATCGGGGTACATGCTATCTATTGGTCTTGTTACCGGGAGTGTTCACCTCATCATCGATTACGGTGGCATCTGCTGGGTTTCTCCCCTGTAAAGTGATTTTCTTTGGTAATTAAAAAATATCTCAGGGGAGATACTTGAGACTAGACAGATATCTAGCTTTTTCCTCAAACACTCCCCCACTGATTTTAGCAGCCATGGGTGGATGTTGCCTACAACAATTATTACTGTGGAGTCTGCCTAATGGTGATTTTCTAGTTTGCTCTTTCCTTCTACATTTACTAACTGGAATCCTTTTACAGGCATTGCTGTCCCTTCTCAACCATTTGTCTTTCAACTTACCTACCTATCTATCTATCTATCTGTCTGTCTGTCTGTCTACCTACCTACCTACCTACCTACCTACCTACCTACCTATTCATCCATCCATCCATCCATCCATCCATCCAACTACTTATATCATTATGGACCTATGGATATTTAAAACTACCATTAATAAATTGTTGTTCAAATGGTACCAGCTTTGGCTTGTTAAAAACTTTAAGTTATACAAGTAAAACATATTCTCATTCTAAAAATTTCAAATAAAACAAAGCCAAGCCCGCCTCTCCTTAGTCTTCAATTTGACTTCACGTAGGTAACCACTTTACCCTTCGGCAAGTACCCTCCTCTGTCTTTTGCTAATCCTACTCTTTGTTTTATAGACAAAAATGGGATCATAGTAAATTTTCTGAAACTTGCTTTTTTCACTTCCTATTATGTCTTAAAGCAGTGCTGTTCCCTGTGGACCATGGACCTTTTTCTCTCCAGTAAAGGGGGCCTGGATTTCCACTTTGAAGAGAAAAGCTCTGAGCCGCCGCCTGTCCCCTCAGTCCTAGAGGCCCTTTAGGGGACTGGGCACAGTTCGGAGCAGGCAGGAGGAGCTGTGGCTGCAGGCTGGGCCTGCTGAGCAGCCCCATGTCGCTGGAACAGGCCTGGGGAAAGGGGAGGACATGTGGGGAAGCCTGAGCAGGCCAGCTGGGAACAGCAGCTGGGACTCCATGCCCCTGGAGGCCTCCCTCCCTCTTGGCTTTTAGAATCACACACATTTATAGATGAAATGATGTGATGTTGGAAATTGGCTTCAACTTAGTTTCGACTGTTTTCTAATTTTCACTCTTACATCTCTCCCATGCTTCCTTATACACGAGTGCAAGCATTTCTCCAGGATCCTAGGTAAAGGGGGGCTGCCGAGTGGAAGGACCAGATATTTGACACTTCAATAGATATTGCCAAGTTGACCTTTAGGAAGATTCTACCAATATATATGCATTTCAAGAACAGAGGAGCAGCCATCTCCCCAAAGCCTCACCAGGGATATTAGTTATCCCCTAAATGTTTGCCACGTTGATGAGTAAAAATGACACATGGTTTTACTTTGCAGTTCTCCAATTCCCAGTCAAGCTGAGATCTGTGGTTGCCCTTTTGTATTAATTCCCTCTTCAAAGAATCATAGTGTAAACAGTGCTATGAGCATAGACTCTGGAGCCCGTGGGCCAAGTCTGAGCCCTCACTCCCCTACTGACTAGTTATGCGACCCTGGGCAGATTAGTTGACTGTGCCTCCATTTCCTCACCTGTCTAATGGGGTAAGTGCAGTGCTAACACCATAGGATTGTTATGACAATAAATGAGCTAACATTTGTTAGGTGCTTAAAACGAAAAACCTTACCTACATCTATATTCATTTCCTAAGGGTAAATTCTTAAACTTTGAAGGCTTTTAATGCATGCTGCCAAACGTATCTGCCAGACAATGTATTTAACTTGTTTACCCTCTGCCTTCTCCCAGTAGGAATGTCTCTGTTTTTTCCAAAATCTCTACAGGGAACGTGTGTTTCCTTTATAATCAGAGCAAAAAATGGGAGTAGGGCTGGGGGAGTGGAAGCTAAGGAGAAAGAAAAGATCCAGTTCCAACAACCTCCTGGTGCCCCAGTCCTCTGTGACCACAGCGTCACATGATTACTCATCTGTGGATCTGTCCCTGAGCTCTTTGCAGGCAAGTCCTGGGTCTGATTCAACTGCATCTGAGTGTCCACAGAAGGTGCTGACACACCCAGTCTCATCGAAGCTTTGCAAACGGATGGATCCCATTACATGTTCACCAAGGGAGGTCACCAGCCCTCCAGTGGAAACCCTATTGGTAGCTCTGCTCCTCACTCGTACATGAACTTCCATCCCTGACCCCAACTAGGGGCCCATTACCACCTGGGCAATGTGATGATAAAGATCCAGGGAGCAAAAGCCCTGCCCCTGAGAACCTTGCTAAGTAGGTGGATATATTATACAAACCCATTAAAACAACTTGACACCAAAGCAGCTATTATTGAGAGTGTTTGGCCTGGGCCATGTACTAAGGGCTGTAAATGCAAAAATCTCCTTTGAAACTCACAACCACACTGTAGGTTCAGTATTATTATTGCTGCCCTATTTAACAAATAAGGAATCTGAGCTTAGAAAGCCCAAGCAGCCTGTCCAAGGGCAATAGATATGAAGTCGGCAGAGCCAGGACTCATAGGCAGGTGATTCTGACCCCAGAATCTAGGCCAGGACACCTGAGACAATCAGGGAATGTCATAGAGGGGATCAGGGAGGACACATCGAGTGCCATAGGAGCTCAGAGTCAGAGAAAGGACACTGCGCTGTGAAAACCCCCCCTGCCCCAGGCAACTGGCAGGGCTGAAGGGGAACCAGAGCAAGTGGAGAGGGGCTGGGAGCAGCGTGTCACAAACGAGGGCCTGCCCTGACCAGAGCACCGTGGTGAGAGGTGAGGGAGAAGCATGTGTGCGAGAATACGTTCACGCACAGAGGGTCTGGTGGACAAGCCTCACTGTGGGCCTTGCCTGGAGGTGTGCAGTGAAGAACATGCTGTGCTGTGGGATGCAGAAACACAGACCGAGTTGGGAGAGAGACCAGGCAGGAGGTTCTTGCCTTTGCCAGGTGGAGCTGGGTGGAGGAGTGGAGCAGAATAATAAGAGTACGCGGGAGAGGCTGGAATGAACCCGTTGACTGACTAGCTAAATCATTGCTCTTTTCGCTTGCTGGGACCTTCTTCTGGCATCTTTGTAAAGTAGTGGTTCATTACAAACTGAGTGGGTCTGGAGCGGATGTGCAGCCCCCAAATTAGCTGTTCCCATCTCTGGGAACTACCATAATGTGAGTTCTGCAACTGCTGAAATGCTGTTTATGAGGCAGTAAAATCCAGAGCCAAGCTGCCTGAATGTATCCTGGTGTAAGATAAGAGTCTCCTGAGCAGCGAGTTCTTTCAAGAATGTTTAGGAAAACCACCTAAAATGTGAAATAAGCTGCATTGGCCGGGAATCGAACCCGGGCCTCCCGCGTGGCAGGCGAGAATTCTACCACTGAACCACCAATGCTCCAGCTGGCAGAAGGTTTTTAGCTGCTGCCATGAGCCACAGAAAGCAGCGGTTCCTTTCCAGACAGCTTGACTTGCTGCCACATAAGCAGAAAGGGTGGGGCACGGGCTGCCAGGTTCCACTGTAGGGGAAGAGGCACTAACTTTTTTAAAAAAAAATTGATATATAGTTCATGTAACAACATCCCTTAACACAAAGTTCACCTTTTTAAAGTGTGCAATGGGTGATTTTTTGTACAGCCACAAAGTTATGAAAACATCACTATTTAATTCCAGAACATTTCCATCACCCCCAAAAGACGCCAGGCATCTATTAGCAGTCAGTCCTAATCACTTCTTCCCCTTCGGCTATGCAACCATTATTCTACTTTATGACTCTATGGATTAAGAAGCACTAACTTTTCAAGTCAGTATAAAATATTCAAAAGTTCTGCTTGCTGTGACTTGTCAAGCCAAAAGCAAAACAAAGCAAAACAAAATAAAAATCAATAAAATCTATTATCCAAACAAAAAAGGAAATATATGGAATTATATAAGTAGATCATATATATATATATATATATCTTTATACATATGATCTCAAATATATATATGTATATATAATGGAAAATATATGCCAAAATTATAATATTCATTGCCTCTTGATGGGGATAATCTTGCTTCTTTATATTTTTCTCTACTTTCCAAGTTTTCTAAAATGAAAATCAAAAAAATGAGAAGATAAAATACTCATACATCAGTGAAAGTTGACAAAATATGTCTAGCCCTGAGAATCTTCTAGTTTCTCCCAGGAAGAAAGTTCCTGCCTTAGGAGGCCCACACTTACTTATCTTGCCAAGTTTTCTTTTCAAGGAGCTGTCAAAAAGCTTTCAGCTGCTGCATTGGCCGGGAATCGAACCCGGGCCTCCCGCGTGGCAGGCGAGAATTCTACCACTGAACCACCAATGCTCCAGCTGAGCAACGTTCTGCTTCCAGCTGTTTTTACTGCTCTGGCTCACAGTGGCGATGGTACAGCTGTAACCTGACCTATGAGACTGTCTAGGATGGAATGCTGCCTGATCCTACCAGCCCAACCCATGCAGGAGGCCCGTGGGACCTGTGCGTGACATTCTGCTCAGATGTTCAAAAGAGAAGACCAAGAGCAGCAATGAGAGCAAAAGTTTTAGAAATTCTTTTGGCTCCCAGGAGCAGATTCCAGAATTTAGTCTGTTAGCCTTCAAGATTTGAGTAGTTTTTGCATCAGTTACTCTCTGGTTGATCCCGCAAAGAAGAACATCACCCCAAAGCCGATCAGTGACCTCTCAGTGAGGATAGAGGCCCAAGAGATAAAAGAAAAAAAAAATCAGAGTTCTTGACAACATTTAGAGCCAAACTCCAGATTCCAATCAACATAAAAGTGGTTTTCTTCTTGTTATAGATAAACAAGACACCAACGTTAGAGGAGTCTGGAAGGAGAGCATTTCATTTTTTATGACATTGATTTTGGGAGCAAAATTCCCAAGGACTGAGTAAACTGCAGCTAGAGCTTCCCTAACCCTCGCGCCCTGAGAATGATGGGCACAGTAAAGGCAGCAGCTTCTGGGTGGCTGGATGTCTGTGGCTAACGTTCAAATGAACCCTGCAGCCTGTACTCCTGCCATGCTCCAAACATTCCTACATTAAAAACAACTACTTCCTGTAGCTGAAGCCAGAACAAGATTAAGGAAAGGCTTAATGGTCTTTGAGGAAGTAAGGGTTAAGAGCATGGGTTCTGGAGGCAGACTGCCAGGGTTCAAATCCCAGCTCTGTCACTTAGGAGCTGCCAGATCCTGGTCGGGTTACTTATCTTCCCTGTGCCACCTGCGGAATGGGGATAATAGCAGTTCCTAGCTCACTGGGTTGTTACTAGAATTGAGAATTAACATACGGAAAGCAGCCCCGGATGGTTCAGTGAGGCCCCACGTCAAGTCCTATGACCTTTGGTTCCCTGGGCCCCTCCCTGGGAGGTGAGGGGCAGGAGGCAGAGCCTACTCACCACTGACTGTCCCCTCCTGCTTTACCAGGGAGTCGTCAGGGTTGGGTTCTGCCTGCCTCAGCACCACTGGCTTCAGCTCATCGGGCTCATCGTCCTCAGGGGTGACTAGCTTCATGAGGCTCTGGTTGCACACGTTGGCCACCTCCTTGATGCCTGAGTCCACTGATGTAAGGAGCAGCCCCACCTGGGGGTCTTCCTAAACCCGAGGTCACTGGCACTGGGCAGGGGCTCAGTCCTCCCCAGAAGTATGTTAGTGGACAGACAGGCAGTCTGAACCAAGGCCCTGTTCTCCTTGCCACGCTGGTGTCCCTGTGAGAGATGTCCCCACGTCCTAGCGGACCTCCCTCTGACAGGATTTCCCCCACCCAACGTGGGGCAGTGTGAGCTCAGGGGGTTGGAACCATGGGACCCAGGAGAGTTGCTCCAGATCTGTAAGTAATCAGGTGAGGTTTGGGGACAGTGGCATTTGCTCTGGTGCTGCCCTGGGTCTCCCAGTCCCAAGTTCAGCTCTGCCTCCTGCTCCCTCAATTCCAAGGACTATGGGGAGGTGTGATGGATCCTAAGGGAATCCCCACCCCCCTACTCCAGGTCCCATAACTTCACAGGCCTGTTCGGGGCTGCTCGTTTCCTCTCTCTAGAGTGAAGGATACTTTTCTTGCGGTCATCGTAGGCCAGGCAGGGCAAGACGGCGGTCAGGATCCCAGAGGAGTAGGGCAGCATCACCCGGCCGGCCAGCTGGATGAACTCCCGCATCCAGCACATAGCTGTCAGCTGGATCAGGTCATCTGGAAGAGCAATTGGTGGGTTCCAGGAGGGTCAGCATGAACAGCTGGAGTGCTCCCTCCCACAGCATGGGACTGGAGGACCGGGTGGGATCCAAGGGCCTACACTGCTTCTATCTTCACAAATACTCTCTTACCTTTGCTTTTTGCCTTCCCAACGTGCATACAGTACCAGTTTGGAAAGGAACAACAATCTTGTGTTAGATTGTAAGAACCACCACGATTCTCCACTCCTCCTTGTGTCCATGCCCTTCATAATGGGGCTCTGCAGCTCCTCTCATCAAGGGATGGAGTTCATTCCCCTGCTCCTTGAGCTTCGACAGGCCTTGCTACATTGGCCAACAGAAGGGGCAGAAGTGATGGTGTGCCTGCTTCAGTGTAGGCCTCAAAAGCCCTTACTCACTTCTACTATGTCTCTTGGGACCTCACTGATGCCACATGAATGCACCTAGGCTAGGCTGCTGAACGATGGGACACACAGACCAACTGTCCCTGTTGCCCCAGGTGATAGCCGGCCAACTGCCAGACATGAGCAAGACCATCCTAGACCACCTTGCCTAAGCTGACTCCCCAGTTGACTGTAGGTGCAGGATAGTTCAGCCATACCCGGCTCAGGTGAGAAGAACCACCCAGCTGACCTGTAGACTCATGACCAGTAACAGTGACTGTTGTGTTAAGCAAGTACGTTTTGCGAAAGTTTGACATTCAACAGAAGTTAATGGATACACAAGCTCCACCCTCCAAGCATTTCAATTCATAGTGCTAATGCCAAGATTGCCAGCAAGAAGGTCGCCAGATTTTACTCCCCTCTAGGATCAGACCAAGTGGAAGGGCCTCCATGTTGATAGAGACCCACTACTCCACTGCTCTAGGATCCAGGGATGCACTGCTTCACACTCCTTCCAGGACTCTTTCTGAGACAGCGAGAGAGAAAGGTGCTTCTGAGGAGGTGGAGGTGGCCATGGGGCCTTCACACACTCACCCGTGGTCTGGCAATGGATCACCAGAATGTTGGCCATCTCAGCAAACTTAACACTGGAGGGGTTCTTCTTAATTTCTTTCAAGAATTCTCCAAGGACCACCTCACACCTACCAATAAGAAAAAGAGAAGGGAAATAGCATATGACAGCCAGGGCTGGAGGAGCCTGCGCCAGGACCCATTTCTGCTCTGGGCTGGTCACCTAGAGGGAGTCAGATGGACATTTTTCAGAGGCTGGGGGTTGATGAGCTCTCAACTCCTCAAAGAAGGAAGGAAGCACATGAGCCAGGAAGGAGACAGTGAACTTCTCATTCTCCTGCTGCTGCCTGTCTGTTGGGTGTAGGGGGGGTGGTGTGTGTACTGCGGGTCTCTGGCTGGCAGCAGCTGCCTGCCTCCTCCCCCTACTCACATTTTCCGAATTTCTTTGCCATTGTCACCCAGGATCTGGAAGAGTCCATCCAGGATCTCCGGCAAATAATCCAGCAGGTTAATATCTGGCACGGACTCTAGAACCAGGATCTGACGCAGGGGAAGAAACCAGGAGGGAAAGTTACACCAACCCAAGACTCTTTGTTTCTTCCTCACCAACCCTCTGGGACTGGGCAGTGAGAAGCGGGCTCTGCAGAGGCAGCATTTCACAGCACTGCAGGTGTCCCACGTGGAGAGAGGCGCTGGCAGCTATTGTTTTTGTTAACTGTGCAGCGGAACAGTAATTTAACTCCAGGGAAGTTGAGATGCCACAGGGAGAAGGGAATGCACAGGCGAGGACAGACAAGGCTAGAAGAGGGGTGACTGCTGAAGCAGAACTATTGGCTTCAAAGAGAAATCAGGGTGTTTCCTGGGACAAGGAAAGAACAGTATCCCCCTCAGGGGCAAATATGATGGGCTTTAGGAGCAGAGCTGAATAAACGTGTTTTCAGACTATCTGATGTCACTGGCTCTTAGAGGGATAACAACAAGGCTTCTCTCTAGCCACAGGAACTGCCCAGGGTGTGCCAGAGAGCAGACTTTACTAACCTAGAGGCTCATCACGGCTGAAGAAATGGCGCCAAGGGGCTGGACCTTACCCAAGAGATGAGGAACTGCCGGGCGTACTGGTTGTTGGAGTAAATCCTCTCCCGCAACAAGGGGATGAAGCCCACCAGGTCAAACCTGTTGCTTTCCGTCACAATGTCCTGTGGATCAAAGGCATGTGAGCTTCTGAGAGCCAGAGGCCAGTGGCTGCCTGATTTGGTTGAATTACTGGCCCAGGGCTGGCACCAAGGGTCAGGCAGCCACAGAGGAAAACGGCAGAGCCCACGCCAGGAGAGGTCCCCAGAGCATCCCTCCTCTCATAGGCCAAAGGACAAGCAAAACGATGGATTTAGAGCAGGAGTCAAAGTTAAGAGAACTAATCAAATGGCAAAATCTCTGTGGTCTGGAGCGAACGCCCCGGGGAGCTTAGCATAACCAGCCACTATTGTTGAGGGCAGCGTGGTGTGGGAAGTGATAGACTCCTTTGCCCTGGCTGGGGCTGGCATGAGGCGATGTTTACGGGTGACAGAACAGTTCTGCATTTTGATTGTGCTGGTGACAACTCTATGCACTTGTTGTAGAACTGTACACCAAAGAGTCAATTTTACTGTATATAAATTAAAAAATTTCAAAAAATTAGGAAGAGTGTCCCCAGTGATAGAATTTATAAGCTGTACAGACAGATAGAAGAAATAGATTATAAAAATGTAAGTGGGGACCAAGTATAAATACCTTTAAGAGGCGGTCTAGGAGCTCAGATCCACTTTTCACATTGGGGTCTGGGTCAGCAGCCAACTGCAAGAGGCACAGACAGAGAGAGATGGTCACAGTCAATACACAAGACAAGGAATCTACTGAAATCCCACGGTCAAGGCCTGGTGCAGCCTGGAACATGGGAGGGGCACCACTTTCAGTGAAGAGATGGAATAAAGGTGGAGAGGTGGGGGTGGGCAAAATGGAACCCGGGTAAGGACCGAGACACAGTAGATGTCCTTGTTCTGCTCAGTGACCTCCAGGATCCGCTGCCACTGGTTGGGGGGTTGCCTGCTGTTGACCTTTCTCAGGTGTTTCCAATCCGAGAAGACTGCGTCCTCTCTCCACTCCTGGAGGAAGGGACAGCGCAGCTGCCAGACTGATACTCTAGAAATGACTGTGGCAGTCAGCAGGGCCTAGGAGGGGAACTCTAGGAAGCAAGAGAGGCCTTCGGGAGGGTATTAGGGACTCCAAAGCCTTTCTAAGGAGAGCTTTTTCTAGAACTTATGAGCTATGCTTTCCCCGCAGGGGAAATACAGCCTGTTCTATGGACTCACCAGCTTTACTTCTATAAGGGAGGTTAGTGCTTTTCAAACGATCATTTTTTTCCTTTCAATTTGTGGTGGACTGATACTTTCATAAAATGCAATAAAAATAAACAGAGAAATGGGAAAAAATGTAAATACAAGCCCATTAAAAAAATTATTATTAGACTGAACAGGTAACAAGTGTCCCTGGCAGCCATGTGCTTATCTGCTCCGCATGCATCTGGGAAAAAGGACTCAAGGTCTCAGAAGCTCAGCCAGCTAGAATGAGGAGCGGTCACCTTACTCAGCCCGTCAAAGAGCACGTTGAAGTGGGGCAGCACGGCGCCTCGGGCCACCTTGACGATGTTGTAGAGAGCCTCGCAGGCGTAGTAGCGCAGCCTGCTGTCAGCGTCATTGAAGCAGGTCAGCACTGGCTCGATCAACTCCTTCAGGTAGAGTCCTGAGTCCTGCGATGGGGCAGGAGGAGAAGCAGCTCAGAACAGGTCAGGCCCCAGGCCCCAGCCCATAGTGCCACCAACACCCCAGCTCCTGTGGGGATCCACAGGCTTTGCATGAGGGCTGGGCTTAAAGACCCTTTGCAGCCTCCCAGGATAGGGGCCACGCCAGGGAACAAGTCTGCAAGGCCACAAAGCCAGCCTTGCTGGTCTTAGGTGTGGCGAGAATGGCCATAAAACACAAGTCTGCTACGCCATGCTGGGTCTTGGGGGTCAGAGTGAGGACCATCGTTGGCGTGTCTGTCCTTCCATGAGAAAGGCCCACCTTGCCCAGTGCAATGGAGCAGGCGGCCAGGCCAATGAGGCCCCCCTTCCGGCTGTGGGGGTGCTGAGACAGGGCAAACTCCTGAGACAGGGTCTGGATCACATGCTTGATTTGCACGGTGTTGTTCTGGGCCACGAACTCCCGGACCAGCCTGGAGAGAGAGGAGAGAGGAGCTGCAGGACCAGTGGAATCGGGCTACCTCTGTTGCTGGCTCCAGGGGCTGGGATGAGGGAGGGAGGTGATCTGTTTAGAAAGAGGAAGCAGTCAGGTACCTCAGGGCAGGCCTTTCCCAGTTCCGCTGCTGACTGGGAGGTGGTGGTAAGGGCCATTTCTCTGTTCTGGGTCTCAGTTTCCCTTTGTGTAGAATGGAATGAGGAACAGTGGAGCTATCTCACTTCTAGAAATCCAAGAGAACGCAAATGAACACCTTGTTGGGGGCCAAAAACCTCAATGATCAACTGTCTTTATTCAACACTGGCTCAATCCTCCATTTGTGTACCCAAGAGGTTCTCTGTGTCTGTATCATTACTTCCAGGGATGCTGCTGAATCGGGCCCCAGGCAAATGGGCAAGATCCACACACAAACAAACAATTGTAGCAACCAGGCACAAGTGATACCACAGAAGCAAGAAAAATGCCATGGGCTAATCTCCTTGGGTTGACTGGGAGATGCCATTTGGGTCAGATCTTAAAAACATGAGCAGGCATTTTCTAGGTAAGGAAAAGGAAGGCAGGGCATCTCAGGCACAAGGAAGAGCCTGGCTAAAGGCAAGGAGCTCTGAAAAGACTCGGGATATTCAGAGAAGGACGAGGAGCTGGCGTGTGGGAGTGCCTAGGGACAATTAAAGGAAAAGATGATCTGGTGAAAGTTTTCTAGCAATGGGGTGACACTCTCAGATCTATGTGTTAATTAGGTACCTCTGGTGGCAGCCTGCGAGGGGGCTGGTTTCACAGGAGACTGAAAAATCCCCACAGGAGAACACCACAATTATCAGGGTCAGGAAGGACGGCCTGAAATATGGCTGAGGCAGTGGGAAAGAGTGGGGGGAGAGCTTTAAATTAAACAGAAAAGCATTAGGAGCCCATGCAATATGGGAGAGGGAAGGAAGGGCAGAGACGCCTCTGCCTCTGAGGTGTCTACCTGGGGAGTGTCTAACAGGGAGAAGGGAGGTCTGAGGGAGGCTGCTTTCATGGGAAGGCGTGCCCGTGGTCACCCTGGGGGGATGCTCCCAAAGCAGGCCCTGCCAAAGTGCAGGGGAGCAGGGGGAGGCCCGGTTCATCGGGGACCACTCCCTGTTTTCAGAGCCCAGTGGGCACAGGGGCCAAGACACCCTGCCCTTCACAAGCTCATAGCATCTCCATGGTGAGAAGCCTCACATAGGAAAATATGTGACCCATAGGAGTGACCCAGATAGCTGATGGGGAGCTGCAGCCTGAGCATCAGGGACGTCTTCCTGGAAGTGGGATTTGAGCTGGACCCTGAAGGAGGCAGGGAGGGAGACAGAAACAGGCATTCCAGGCAGCAGGAAATGTGTGGGCAAACGCAAGAAGGAGGAACTAGCCAAACTAGTCTGGGGCCCTGAGAACAGTGGCGGTGGGAGATCAACCAGGACGGGTGGGCTACGGCCATTACGGCATCTCAGATTTGGGAGAGTGGATCTCATATCATGGGTAACAGGGAGGCATCTTATGGTTTTGAAGAGCCTGGTGAAAGACTGTCTTAAGAAGCTGTGAGATGGATGAGGAGGGGGAGACTGTCCCAGCATCCAGGCATGGGAACAGGTACCAGTGTAGCGGTTGAAGCTGTGATAAGGGCGGTCTACAGATTACGGGCTTTTCAAAGCAGCTGCCTGGACTCACTGTTTAATCGCTTTGTCTCCATTATGGCAGGTACACTGCTCACCTGTTGTATAAATGAGGGTCTCAAGTTGGCTTAAAGAATTTTAAGGATGGTCAAGTCCAAAAGGTATCAATTAGTCTATGTGGTTCCAGCTCAGTATCAGGAACCTGGTAGTAATTAGAGCTGTTCAAAAATAAATGTGCTGTGCTATGAGACAATGACCACTCTTGCAAAACAGTTGTTCCATGGGGGGTAGACAGGGTTTGATAAAGATTTAAGAGAGCAAGCCATATGGGGCACCTATTCTGTGCCAGGCACTGCGTGCACAGATGAGCAACACAGGCCTGGCTCCTGTGCTGGCGGAGGTGGGAGCAAAGATGGGTATTCCAGGAAGGGGCTGCACAAATGGCCTGTGAGGTGCTTCTTTGATCTTTATAGCGTGAGATTCCATCAAGCTCACCGCAGGGGGCTGAGGGCTATGGATGAACCAAGGGCCTCTGGGTGGAAGCTCGATGCCAGTTCCATAGGCCCCCACTCCCAAAATGGCATAATAAAGCCCAGCAAAGATGGTTCTATATAAACCCATCTGGTTTCCCAAACTGGACAAACCAGCCAGGTGAGGTCCAGTGATCTGCCAGAGCTCTCTCTGAGTAGTCACAGACACAGCCCCTTGAGAAAAGCCCTGCAGATGTGTCATGGAACAGCTGGAGCATTGGTGGTTCAGTGGTAGAATTCTCGCCTGCCACGCGGGAGGCCCGGGTTCGATTCCCGGCCAATGCAGCGCTGTCCTTTTGCCTTTTCCTGGCAGGTTTCCTCACACAGAGATCTGCTGGAGGAGCCAGTCTCCTCAACCAATCCCGGCCCCAGCTGCTGAGGGTGCTGGGAGTCTCTAATCCCATTTTCCTGCTTAGTGAGCGCATGAACGGCAGCTGGGTTCTGGCACCACTGGCTGTTGGGAACAAGGCCTTCTTCATGCCCTTTGCCAGTGAGGGGACCCCTGCTGCACCCCTCAGCCTTGGCCTGTCTCCAGCAGGAAGCTGGGGTGAAACCTTAGAACAAAGTCTCAATGTACTTTTTGCTACTGAGCAGGAAGGACTTGAGCTCTAGTTTTTCTCCTGAGGTCTGCAGGCAAATCAACTTCACACACATCTTCTGCCTCCTCCCTTCTCCCTCCTGCTCTGGAGTCTAAGCTTTCTGTTCTTGCAGCTGTGCTGATGTGGCAGCATCAGAGCCTGGCCTTATACTTTGTGAATCAGCATATATACAAGGAGGCTCAGGACTGGGTTAAAAGGAGGTGCTCACACAGCTGCTGACAGCTGGAGCATTGGTGGTTCAGTGGTAGAATTCTCGCCTGCCACGCGGGAGGCCCGGGTTCGATTCCCGGCCAATGCAGCCACAAACTTTTTTTAATCCTAAGAGATTGGATTTGAGATTTCACATTGCCTAAAGAATTTGTGAATACAGTCTGACAACTGAAAATGATTTGTTTCTAGCTTGAGTTTTAAATATCTTTGATGAAAAATACTCAGTTTCTTAAACTTCACAAAGATCTAGAACCTGTGCCTACTTGTTCTTGAGGGGATCACCAAAGCTGTGGAAAGCAGCCATGCCTCCAGCTCGTGCGCAGACAGCCTGCCTGGGGACTCCGGCTGCTGACAGCACTCCCGGGGAAGCCAGGCCATGTGTCTGCTTGGTACAAGTTAGAGCAGCAGTGGGAGCGAGGACATCCATGAGCCTTTGGCAGGGAATCCAAAGAAGATCCAGCCCTACCAGCAGCACAGGCCATCCTGCAACCACCTCCTCTCCCGTCTCCTTGTTTCAGGTCACAAACAGCCCTGAGCAACTGGAAAGGGCACTCTTCCCCGTCCTAGAGCCAGCATACAGGAAGCATTCCCTGCCCCTGAGAGGCTGCCTGCTGGGGTTAGGCAGAGAGGAAATAAGAGTACACAAGCATTTTCGCGCAAAGCAGAGAAAAAAACCTGGTGAGAAGAGCGCAAGGCGAGGAGGGGACAGGCAAGAAAGAGCACGACTAGCATCTTTGGCAGGGAGGCAATCAGGAGCGGCTTCACGAGGGTCAGCGCTTGAGAGGGGATCTGAAGGGTGAGTAGGTGTCTGTTCTGGAGCTGCTCAGGATGAGGCAGCCCAGAGGGAAAAGCATGAACAAAGGCTCAGGGGAAGGAGAGGCACTTGGTTTGGCAGAGCAAAGGACACAGGTAGAGGAGAGGCAGGCGACAGGGCTGGAGAAGCTGCTCCCAGTCATGTGCATGGCAAAGGAACCGTTCTTTAATTCTGGCACCAGTAAGGACCATGCAGAGAAACCTGCAGTGGTGGGCGGTATGGATTTGAATGGCGTGTTGGGGGCTCTGAAGACCACAAAGGCTCACAGAGACTGAATGGTGAGAGAGCCTGAGGAATGGGGCTCTAATGTCGGGGTAACAGCTGCAAAAGTAGCAGGGTCTCCTGAAGGGAGATAGGCAAAAAGGACACTTGTGTTCAGCACTCCCCTGACTTTGCAGGCCCAGCAGCACCTTTCTCATTTGCTCTACGCCAGCTGGAAGGCCTACCCCATCCCAAATCCTACCAGGGCTCAACTCAGGGCACCCCAGGCCACTACAAAAATGATGGCCCATTCAAGTCCTGAGGCCCCGGAACCCCCAGGCTCTGGAAACCATGAGAACATCAGATTGGACAGCCCTGGGCCTGGCCCTGTGGGTCAACCTCTGGGACACAGCAGCAAGAGCTGTGCCACGAATCAAGCCCACACTCCTTACCTTGGCACTTGGGGTGGCCAAAGCAGGGCCAGGCTGATCTCTCCAATCTTCCTGCCTGGGTGCCCAGCATACCTTCCCATTCCAGCCAGACAGGCCTTCTTACTGGGCGCTGCTCACTCCACTCCTTCCACACTTCCTGTCTGCCCCACTCTCCAGGAAAGCAAATGCTCCACATCCTATCCTGCCTTCAAAGGGCAGCTCCAATCCAACCCCCCGCTTTTCCTGGTCATCCCAGGAAGGGATCACTCCTCCCCTGAACACTGAAGGCTTCAAGGACCCACATTCTGTACTCAGCAACGCACTGATGAACGTCACCGGCTCCTTGTCATGTGTACAGTTCTATGTCCATAGCACCTTGATGCGGTCCTTGAGGACAGACTGGTGCCACAATTCTCTGCATCTCTAGTGCCAGCCCGGTCTCTGAGCCTAGTGCTCTGCATACAATAAGTGGGGAATCGGTCAACATCTGCCTGGGGATTGGATGTGTGAAGGCGGGCAGGGCCGAAGGACCGCACAAATTGCAGGGCAAACCCGAGTGAA